CGTACCTTGTAACTGAACTCAGGTTTGCCCAGCACATTGATACAGGTTATTGGCATCGGAACTAACTGTTTTCACTGCGGTTGCAACCTCCAGTGGCAAGTGCCATAAAAAAAAGTGATGCTTCACGTAACATGGCTGAGATGAAAGATGGCACTTAACCGCTAACCGAAGATATGAGAACCAGTTTTCAGTCAGTGCCACTTGCTCTGAAAATGCGAAACAGATTCGATTCAAGTTGATGTTCTGCCAATTCCTCAAGTTGCCTAAGTGGAGCGCGCATATTTTGTATGAAATTCTTTGAATGCGCCACACAAATGCAAAAGCTGTCGAAAACTTTAATGACGCTTGGACAAGTCGAGGGTATTGAATGTCAAAGTTGAATCACAGCCCAGCCCCAGACCAGAGCACACTAGAGCCGCCCAACCAGCAATTGTTAAGGAGCCGCCAGCAGCTTTATATGGAGAATGCATTTTGGCTGTGGCGTCATTAAGTTGGCCCATAGCTTTGGCTTTGGTTTCGTTTTCGGTTTCGGTTTCTCGCGCGGCAAGACTTTGTAGTCAGTGCTCTGCAAAAAGGGTCCGCTTGATTTCGGTAACATGTTTGTCACTCGCCAGAAATATATTCAACTTGTGAGTTTTAATCAATAAAGAAGAGGCAACAGATGCAGCTTGGTCTGTCAAGCTCCTAGTCTGTGTTTACATTTAACACAATTACAGCGCATCCGCAAGTCTTCGACTGCCGAAAAATGCATTCTCTCGATTTTTATTTGAGGTTTGCACGCAAACCGAAAGACAGCCAAGCCCGGCCAAGCCGCTGCCAGTCATCATGTAACACCCAAGAAATATGGCGATGAGGCAAGCCCCAGCTGAGTTATGCCAGCGAGTCTCTAATAAGTCTCGGCACTCGCGTCTGTTTGCCGTAGAGAATCCGAAATTGACAATGCCGCTGAATCAGCGGAAATTGGGCATTTAGAGAGACGTCATTTGCATAAGACTTCGGCTTAGAGACGCATCTTATTGTTATGTTATGCCCCAGCACGGCCCCAAACGTGCACTGGACGCATCTCCCGGGGCTTAGACAATACGAGCATGTGCATCTGCCGCTGCCCCCTTTAAGCGTATAACGGTCACTAATTTGTAAATCTTGTGAAATTGTGCATCAGCTCTTTTCAGCTAGCCAAAAAAAAAACAAAAAAAATGCATTCACTGCGCCGCAAGAGCCTAAACGGGAAAGTGCGCTGTTCCAAATGATATGCGCAGCAGCCAATTTCTTCCTACCCAGCGAAAACTGGTCTACCGTGACCCACAAAGAGCCGCATGCGAAGCCACATTGAGAATTGCCTTTAACACTCGAGTTGCCAGGTGGCAAAAAAGGCCCAGCTTAACCTGTGTTGTTACCAAAAATATACATTTTTTAAATTGTATTACGCTTTTATAGTTTGCTCTGTGAGAAATGATCAGATGATCTCATCTTACTGCTGCGAGTAGATTTGCAATTTTGAATCATAAACTATATACCCGAACCCATTACCGAACACTCCAATAACTGAACACTCATCAACACCTATACATCTCTCATAAGTGAACAGATGCAATGAAACTCAAACGAGAATTGTAAACCATTTTTAATTAGTTTTTCCAACAACTCTGATTTATATTTCTGTCCCATTAAAAAGGTAGTTCCCCTTTTGACACATTGTACATACTCATGCCCCAAGTATTGAAAATGGCAACGATTTTGCATATTTTTTTTTTTTTTTTTGAAGATCTTTGTACCTTAATCCGTCGCAATTTATGTAACCTTGTATAGGGTATTATCATTTTGTCATAAAATGTTTAGCACATAGAAGGAGGCATCTCCAACCCTATAAAGTAAATATATTCTAGAACAGCATCAACAGCCTAGCGAATATGTCCGTCTGTCCCTCTGACTGTTTTCCATGCGAACAAGTCTCTCAGCACAGGTCCGTCTTCTTGTTGCAGACAGTATATATGTCGGAACCCGCCGGATCGGACCACTATATCATATAGCTGCCTATAAGTAAGTTCTTGTACTTCGTTCTCGTTTCTTTTTTTTTAAATCAAGTAAATTAACACTAAACTACCTCAAAGCGTTAAAATAGCGCAAAAATATAGAATTGATTTATAAAAAAAAAAAATGTAATTATGTTTGTGTTGTTATTGTCGGTGCATGCATTTTAACTTATAATAGTTAGTTTCTTGTTTTTTAATAATTTAATTGCCTATAACTTTTTTATTTATGAATGTTCAATATTGGCAAATCGCAGCCCGCAGAAATAAATAATATTTAAAATCATATATTGTTCTATTAGTTCAACTCCAATCAAGTGTGCACCTCGCCTATAAGCGCCGTCTTCCACAACCGGACATAAACACTGCGATGGTGGGTGTCCGGTTATGGGAGCTAGCATTGTATTATAATATTTAAATATATATATTTTATAAAAAACGGCATGCCATAAGCAAACATCCAACGCTTATTATGCAAAGTACAAAGTTAACAAAAGAACATCGGATTTTAACAAACTTTGAGTATATTAAACAAAATAAAACGGATTCTCAATGTGTGAGTGTAGTCGTGTCCACAAAAGCACGCATTATTTCTACAATGTTGTCACGAATACATGCATATGTATACGTGTGCATGTTGATTATTGCGTCTGTGTCCGACTGCAAACACAAAGGTTAATGTCCATGACTTACCCGTTTTTTGTTTTTTGGCAACTAAACAAGATCAGCTACAACAACAACATCACGATGTTGCCTTTATTCACTAGCGGTTAAAATGTTGCAATGAGAACAGCGTTGGCCATAAACCAACGAAACAACAAGTTAGAATGCTCGAGTATGTTCGACTAGATGCTGCCCTGTAATGTTCGCAGTCAAGAGTTTTCGCTGTATTTGTATTTGCATTTGCAGATATCGAGAACTTCCGGCAGAAAAACGCGAAGATTTCTCCCCTTGCTTATTAATTGGACTTTCTCGACTTCCCACTTCGAGTTGTCTTTTATTGGTTTGCGCACTTAAACCTTTTAAAGCATTTTTATCTGTGCAGAGTATGAAAAGAACACAGCACTTTAAATATAAGACAGACAGCAAGCGACACGAGCAACACTCAAGCAACAAAAGCAAATTACAGCAACAGCCAGAGCACAAATGCAAATCGGAATTGCAAACTGTGGCAGAGGGGAGGAGTGGAGGAGTCAGCGGTGGCTACAGAAACTGGGACAGACAACACCAGCGAGAGATAAACGATATTCGTGAGTGGGCCTGGAGCTGTGCCTGGGCGTGCAGAGAGCTTCAGTTGCCGCCCAATTGGACAGCAAACGCAATTTGGGTTAATTGCTGCAGTGACGCATTGGAGCTCCGGTGCGGATCATATTCTCAGAGACAGACTCAGAGCCGGAGTCGGCATCGGAGTCGGATTCGCACTCGCACTCGCACTCGGACAGCGGCCAATTAATGTGCGGAAATCTGCAAGGCGCCTCATAAAAAACACTGTCACTTTTTGCAGCCAACTTGTCTTGGACTGCATGGCTAGTTGGCTGTTTGGCTGCTGACCGGTGGAAATGGGCAGCTGCCAGTTGCTAGTTGCCACACAACACACAATTAGCCAGGCTAGTCGGGCGGCATTCTTGAGCGCAAGCCTTGACCATGAAACACGCACCATAAATGCTTCTGACAGCCATTTGAAGAATTCAATGGCAATTAAATCCATTGTAAATAAGTTAGAAATTGAAATTGTCCAAGCTCTGGCCAAGCTCTGGCCAGGCTCTGGTCAGGCTCTGGTCAGGCTCTGGTCAATGGCACTCGAGCCAACGACAGTTGCTCCTTTTATATATCGCGTGTGGGTCGTCCAACCGGTTGGGCCGCAGAAACAGTTACTCCGGCCTTCGCTTCCAAAATGGAGCTGTCTGTCAATTAGCGCCGGCGCGACATGACAGTGCACTGAACTTGTTGCGCATGAAGTCTTCATTGTTTATGAATTGTTAATGGCCAGCACCGTGGGCACCGTGGACAAGCATAATTGGGCATGAATAAGCATACGTATCTGCTACCAAATCTGACGTCAAACGATTCACACAACTTAACCCGCTCATGCGCTTCGCAAATTTTAAATATGTCATATAAAAATATATCTCACAACAAATAATCTAACTAACCCACATTTAGTCACATAAATGTTAAGTGTGAGTCTAGCTTGCCTTTAAATAATATATAATATTTTATTTTCTATTCATTATGGTTTTATTTGATTTATTTGACGACTGTCATGAGCAAGTCGAAGTTTAAATACACTCGTAGAATTCTGAAGATTTGTATAGCTCGTAATTGCTGGCATTGGTGAAGGTATATTGAAAAACAGAAAATGTTGTCACACAAAAACTCGACCGATTCCTCCTACAGAGCTAAATGATAAGGTAGTTCGATGTCTTGATTAAGAAAAAACTCTTTTATATCGAGTAGGAATGCCAAGTTGATATAGTGGTTCGATCCGGCCGAGCTCGACTTATGTACTGCCTGCAACAGAAGAGAGAGAGAGAGAGACTAGATTGCATAGAAGGAGACAGACGTAGATTAAAACATCGAAGATGTTTGTATGCCATTTACGTGTTTTATTAAATTGATACAAAATTGATTGTTTTTATGAGTTATTGCTGACTTCAACTAAATAATACTTTTTTTATAGGTTTTTTACAAGTGAGCTTTATTTTGAGCCCATGTTCTTCTCCCAGTCCGTGATATAATGGATTTTACAACATTAATTTAAAATGCAACCCATTGTTTAATGGGTTAATCAACGTATTCAATATATACACACACACACACATACACACATGCATGAGCGAGTACAAATGCGCACACACGGACGTAAATTTGTATTTATACTTAGATAATAAAATGAGTATTGTGGACCACGCGTAGTTTGCATAGCGCCGTGGAAACGGGAGAGCATGTGGATTATATATACTGTCTGAACAGTTGTGTTTCATTTGTGAGTCTGGAAGGTAGCACCGCAACGGTCTCTGGCAATGGATGAAACATTTTGGGCATTGTTGGCCGCCTTATCGCTTGCGACTATTTCAATACCTAGTGTCTCTGGTCAAACACAGCTGGCGGATGAAACTACGCTTGAGACGCCCACATCTACGGCGACCCCGACGTTACCCAGGCTACCACTGGCCATACACTACGAGGCACTCTGCCCGGATAGCATGTACTTTATAAGGCGTCGACTGTACGACGCGCTGCTGGACAACGATTGGTGGTCACGCACCGAACTGAAGCTCTATCCCTTTGGCAAGGCGGCAGTAAGTAGATACCTTACCCCAGTCTGCGAGAGCATCCAAATCTAATCAATCGTATTGCCAGTTCTACAACAACACTGAGATCGGAGAGCTGCAAGTGTTTTGCCAGCACGGCGATGAAGAGTGCGAGCTGAATGCCCTGCACGTCTGTGTTCTGGAGCATCTGGAGCTGCGTCAGGCCTTTGATCTGATCTACTGCATGCTGCGTACCTATGGCAACAGCATTGATGGGTGTGCCGCCCACCTGCGCCTCAATGTGACGGCAGCCAAGGAGTGCAAGCACACGCGCAAGACGCCCGATATCCTTCTGCCCTACGGCAAAGAGACACTGGAACTCGAGTTGTCCTTTGTGCCCAGTATTGTGATTGACAATGTGAGTGCCCTGGCTGCAATTGACCTGTACCTGTAATTATTCTTATCACTCACTATAATTCACAGCATTTTGCGGCCTACGAGCAGAGCAGCATTCGCTATAACTTTGAGGCCCACTTTTGTCGTCAGTACGAGCGCAAGTTTCAGATAAAACTGCCCACTTGTGGCTAAACAAGCATATCTCTAGTTCAGCCTGGCTGTAAACCAAATTAGATTTGGCTATTAACCACTTCATGAATTTTTTAAAGTGCATCGAATTAATAACCGAAATGTTTTCTTATTTTACTCAGAAAGTCTACATACATTACTCTGTTAATTGTGGAGTAGTTTATTCAGGTGAGGAGTAAAGTTAGCTGGAGTTCTGTTAACTGTGGTGTTGTTCTGTTAAGTGTGGCGTCGCTTCTGCTAAGTGTGGAGGTGCTATGTTAAAGGTGGAGTTGTTCTGCTAAGTGATGAGTCTTTTTGCTTAGTGGGGTTTCGTTCCGTAAAGTGTGTAGTTGTTCGTTAAGAGCGAAGTAATTCTGATTAGGGCAATTTCCTAACGAAAAGCGATTCATTTAACGAACCCTCCACGGAACGAATTCAAATGAGATTTCAGCCAAGTTTCACACAGCGAAGTGTAGACCTAATATTGGTATATTTCCCTTGAATATCGTATGATCTAAATAATTAAACCCTGTATTTTTTTTAGCTCTTCAGATAGAAGACGCTAAGTATATTACAATATTATACCATTATACTTTTAGTAGCTGGGTGGAGCTGTAGGCAAAAGCAAGCTGCTATGAGACGTTTAAGGCACTCATTTTTTTACTGATGGGCAACGCGCTACGTTTATTTGACTAAGTGGCAACCTTGCGTATATAACGGTCAGCACATAACAGAATTAATGTAACGTATTTTTAGGTAGTGAAGGTAAAAGACATGTTTGAATATAAATTTCATTTAAAATAAAAATTAAAAAATAAATAGGGGATATTTAGACCTATAGTTCAAAGAATCAGTTATGTTAATCTCTTAAATTGCCCGCTAACTAGATAAGCACAGAGCGTGCTTTCGCAGTCGCTAAAAGAATAATTTATTAAATATCAAATTTCGATACGCCCCTTTGGATTCCGACACTACAGTATTTTGCAATCTGTCGGAGAACACCTCGGGCCAGCCATTCAACATGCTAGTTATAAAGGGCCCATACATAATAATTTGCCAATCGATTTGTGCGCAAATTCACTTCTCGTCGAATCGTTGGGTTAACAAGCTTCGAGCTGCTGAGCAAGGGGGGTGGGGATGGGGATGGGGTGGGGATGTGCCGGCATGAAAGGCGAATTAATGGGTCGGCTACTGCGAACGGACACTGGCAATGGCCCTGTGCCATGTGAATGCATGCTGCCCAGTTATTTTTACTGAGTTGAGTTCTCTAAACAATAGCGTCAAGTCGACGCTGATATAGCTGATAGCGCAGATAGTTGCGATAGGACTGTCCGGTCCGGTCCGGGGTCTGTCCGCAAATCGACAGACGAACGTTTGAATCGTTTTCACTGTACGCGCTCGGCACTTGCGCAATTTGTTGCCTGTGGCTATCGAAATGCCCAGCGGGGCAGGTTTCAAGCGCGTGTCAGCAGCAGCAGTAAATGATGTCCACATAGAGACAGACCACCGCCGGGCACTGGCCGGCAGCTCGGGGCTGAGGTCGCGGGGTCAGCACAGGGCGTGTTCACAGCAAGTGTATGACAGAGTGCCTAGACGGCCGACTGCCGACTGCCGACTGCCTGCTGAGTTTTGATTTCGAGTTATTGCCAGTTATTGCAGTCGACGATGTCGCTGGGCGGCTGCACAAAACCAGAAACATAGCCAGAACCACGTCGCGACGGCAATCGCAGCTGCATATGCAACAGCAGCAAATGGCTGCAACAAGCATCCACCGCCTTTATGCCATGTAATTCGAATCTCAGCTGGTCGAAAGCTGCGAAAAAATTAAATTTGCGCACAGAACAAGTTTAAGTGGTGGCAAAGTGGGCCCTAGCCGAATAGCATTGGTGATGGAGACGCGTTTTTGTTGCTTGCGTGTTGCCCTAAACGACTGCAACAGCAGGCACCGCCCACACCCACACCCGTGCACCCAACCTTACACCCACAGCCGTACCCGTAGTCCATCCCCAGGGCTATTTGGCCAGTGCACGCCAAACTCGTTTGCAATGCAACAAAAACAAAAACTGTTGCATTTCTAAAGGCTGCTGCAGCAACCAAAAACAGCAGCAGCAGCAGCCGCCACAGCAACAAGAACTAGTAAAACAACAACATCAGCAGAATAGCAGAAGAAAAATAGCAAACAAATTTACTGCCAATTTGCTGCTCATTTCGTTTAGAAGGTGACATGGCCATGGCACATGCGTGGCATCTGCGGCAACGGGCAGCGGGCAGCGGGCAGGGGGCAGTGGGACAGCGGCGACGGACGGGCGTGGCACGATTGTGGAAGCGCCAGCCAGGGCCAAAAATGCCAAGAGGGTGTTCTTGTGTGTGTGTATGTGTGTGTGTGCACTTTGAGCGTATGTGTTTCGCATTTTTACACTTAATTGCTCCGCTTTGCCCCAATTGAACTGGCTGCCGGGCGTGGGAACGGGAACGGCAACGGGCGCGTAGGCGGCTGCGGGAGGGAGGGAGAGCCGGCAAGAGCTGGCTAGACCAAAGCTCGACCCGCTAACAAAAAGCGCAATTGCAACTGCAACTTTTGGCAGGCACTGCACAATTCACACACTCAAACACACACACACACACACACACACACACACACACACACACAGACACGCACACACTTGGCAAGCAATGTACATGAAGGGGCTTATAACTGTTTGAGCTCACCCAGGCACACACATACACACACACACACACACACACACACACACACACGCTCGATAGCTTTGGAGTTTTTGGTTAGTTTTCGATAACGTTTAAAAGACCAATAGACCCAGCGTAAAACGAAAATGTTGAACAAACAAACTAACTATTTTCGGCGCGATAATCGACGTCAATTGCAATGCATTGCAGTTGGTGTTGCCCCTGCCCCTGCCCCCGTCGCTGCCCCTGCCCCCGCTTCTGTTGCTGCCCCTGTCGCTGCCGCCGTAGCCCAGTAGCCGTTGCCTTTTTGCCGAATTGCGCAATTTGCGGCAACTTTTGCGAAACATAATTTTTGGCCAATTTATTGCGTGCCTTATGTGGGCGTCGAGCTCGTCGCTTTCAGCTCATCATCGTCATCATTATCGCCATCATCATAATGATCATCAGCCGGGCATTGAGGAAACGACTTGGGACCATCCCTACATTCAAATTTATGCGCCAAAACTTCCGCTCATTTGAAGTATAAAAATGGCATGCAATTTGATTTGGCACCAAAGAGTGAACTAAAAAAAAATGTGGCCAGGGTTATTCATTTAAATTATAAATGCATTCGGAATGTTTAATTTTTGAATAGTGTGGCCAGCAGCAGCAGCAGCTAGGACTTGCACTCCTTTCTACACACACACACACACACACACATACACACACACTTTGACGGCCGCACTTTCACAGGCAGCACATTCGATTCGCATTAATCTTCATTTGTTTCAGAATAGACTGGCTCTGCTGCTGCTGCTGGTGCTGCTTCAGCTCCAGCTCTAGCTCCAGCTGCAAAAGGACAAATACAAATCTAAAGCACAAATGTCTGCGGCATCGATGAACGACGACGACGACGACGACGACGACGACGACGTGGCAAAGAAAACGCAACGAACAGAAAAGCCATAGGTCATAAATTAGATTTTCCATTAAGCATATAAAAGCACCTTTTGGTTATCCTCAAATGCGTTTGCTCGTCCCACCATGCGCTGCTGCTGCCCCTGATAAAAGGCAAAATCCAACTGTGCTGCAAAATCGAAGAAAAGCATTGAATAAACGAATGAGCCGACGGACGCCAAAAGGGCAAGGTGCAAGATGCTAGGCGGCAGGCGGCAGGCGGCAGGCAGGAGAAAGGCAGGCAGGCAGTCCAAGAATGTTGCCGAGGTGCGCAAAAGGAGCAGCAGAAGTGGCTCCTCGAGCTATCCTGTGCAGCGACAGCGGCAACGGCAGCCATATTGAATGGATTTGCACAAACGTGCAGAAAACTTTTGCTGACACAAAGGATGCAAAAAGGTGAAAGACGCAGCGGGACAGCTGCAGCCGCAGCAGCAGCCGCAACAGCCCTTTAGCCAAACTCGGACAAACTTGATTTGGTGCAATATTTTTACATATAAACTACGACAATAGTCACTATATATAAAATATGCGCACCTAATAAAATACATATAACATATATATATATATATCTGTATATACATATATACAATTGAATGGTAATCGCATAATGGCATTCGGGTGCTCCAGTTGCTGCCTTAGACAGAAGACGTATTGGTGCGAATTGCTTTAATCAGCGCTCGAAAATGGGGGCGAAAATGGGGCATTGAAATCTCGTAAATGTAATGAGCCTTTTTGGCAGGCCATAAAAAGTCATATAAACATTTCAATTAACGTGGTCCACACGTAGCCGTCACTGGCCCAATTCTGATTCAAGCCACAGCCGCAATTGTCCGGCTTATTCGACTTCCTTTAACACTCTCACCTCTCCATTTCCATTGGAAGTTCCACCTGACAGGCATCGAGGACGAATGAGCCGTAGTGTTTGATAAATTGAAGCAACAGAGCCAAGACGACAAATGTGTGCGAGGGTTCCAGCCTCTAACTATAGCTGGTCGATTCGTTTCAATTCATGCCATTGCCTGGCTAATTTAGTGAGGAAATGGACACAGCCACGGGGGCCATGAGGGCAACAGGACAACAGGACAACAGGACAGCAGGACACAAGGGCAACGCTGGTGACGACACAAATGTGTCGTATTCAAGGTCATAAAACGTGCGACACAACCGGTAATCAAAGCATGAAATTAATTTCCAATTGATTTTGGCCCCTTGTCGCTGCTTTCCCAATCGCTGCAGGAAGTTGACCAACGGAAGTGCGAAACGATAAACAGCAACGAGAGGAGTCGCAAAGGCAACAGCAACGGCAACAGCAGCAACAACAGGAGCAGCAGCACCAACGACAATTGAAACCCAGCACATACTTCACCAAGAACAACAGAAACAGGAGCAGCAACGGGCAACAGCAGCAGTCGCAGTCGCAGTGGCAGTGGCAGTGGCTGTGGCAGTGGCAGTGGCAGCTGCTGCCTGCAAAGGGCGAGGGGGCAGAAATGAGGGCATTAAACGATCAAACGTTTAATGACACCCGGCCAGCCATTGATTTGCCAAATACATGCGAGAACTGGGACAGGGAGCGTCCCAAGCAAAGCAGTGGGCACTTGCGACTATGTTGAGTCAACACAGCCGCAGGGACGACATTCGACGACGTCGGTCAGTCAAAGGACACAATCCACGTACCGAGGGCTGTTGCATCCGATTCCCTAGCCTCTCTAGCACTATCCTTGCAAGCCAGTCCTCTACTTATCGTGCTGCTCTCGCATGACCATAAAATGCCGCAACCGCTGTTGCCGGCAACGTTTTTGGGCTGTAGCGGTGTGGCGCCATGACCATCAATATGAGACGAATGCCAATGGCCAGGCATGTGCCAGCCCGTAGAGCAGCTGGCAATGGTCAGACGAGCACTTGGCTTCCCCCGCACGGGCACAAACAACTGAAGCGGGGCATTTAATGTCGCTCTGGCTGTCATCACCAAAATCGAAAAACAAAGCAAAAATAAAAAAAAAATTGTGACCCAGACAAACCAGGGGTATGGGTGCAGGGTATCCGAAAAAATAGAATATGCACAGCATCCTTGACGTTTGTTCGCTCGTTGACGCCCGACAAAGTCCTAGAGAATCGCTGTCCTGCTCTCGGCCTCCTCCCCGCGCTGTCAAAGCCAAAGCTGACGGCCCGGCGCCGACCCATGGCCGAGATGTGTTCATGTCTAATGTCGAAATGGTTAGTTTCACTTTTTGCGTCAGAAATCGTAAAATTGGATATAAAATTTTACGAGCGTGAGCCTGGGCCCTCGCCCCGCCCCCGTCCCGGCCTCGTCTCGAGCGCTCTGCTTTCTGTATGCTCTCGAGCGTTGACGATGGCGTTGACATTGGTGGTAGCTGCTGCTGCTGCTGCTGCCACACGAATTTGTCCTGGGCCTGTATTTGGTCACGGCGCAAATTTTGATGCTTAACTAGAAATGGCAGCTGAAGTGGCAGCAATGGCAATGGCAATGCCGACAGTAAAAGCAACAACAAAAAAGAACTGGAACAACCACAGCGGCCCCATCTTTGCGGCAATAAATCATTTATGCAAGTTGCTGTTGCTATTTGCGTTCAAATAAAAATCCAACAAAAATTTGCTTAGCAATTTTGCTTGTTACAAATTTAAGCGCACTCGACTCATTGTCTTGAACGTTTGCCCGTTTGTCTGTCTTGCATATGTGCATGTGTTTGTGAGCGGGGTTGTGTGTCAGCTCTAAAGCTGTAAAGCTTATAATATGCAATAATCTAAAATACACACTCACCCACACATAAACATAGCTGCAGAGAGGGGCTTGCAACGGCCGCATATTCATATATGTATGTATATTCATGAGCAATATATTTTATAAGCATCATCATGCATATTGGATAAAAAATAAGCTCAAAATACAAAAATATTTCGATATTCTCTGGCAGGCAGTAAAAGCAATCAGACGCCATTTGCCAGACAAGAGTGTGCCTCTAGTGCACACACACACAGACAGGCACACGGAGACGCACACACACACACACACGCATCCATAGAACTTGCTCAGCCATTGTGCCAAATGCTCAGCATAGTTCCAAACATCATTTTTAAATTGTTCGAGCATGCATGTGTTTGTGAGTCTATTGTAAGTGCCATGTGCATGTGTGCGTGTAGAAAAGGCAACAGTAGCCAAGGCTCAGAGAAAGCGCCAGCAGCAGCGGCAGCGGCAGCGGCAGCAGCACCAGCAAAATATTTACAAAATTGTAATGGAATATCAACAGATCATAAAATCATGCACATTTTATTTGTCATAGTCGTAAAAGAAACATATATATATATAGATAAAAAAAAAAAAAAGAAACAGCAACAACAAAAAATGAAAAGAAATAAAATGGAAAGTAGATATGTATTGAAAATAAAATGAAAATACTCGACGAGCATGACAATGTCAATGGTGAGGCAATATATACGAGTACATGATGGAATAGATTGTGGTATTTATTGAATGGCTTTGCCAGCCCCCCGGCACTTCAAATTCAGATCCTTGGCTAGCTGCTTGAACATATTAAAGGCTTCGCTCCTTAGGCTAAGCCGCATTAGGAAACGAATGGGGAAGTGGTCAATTTGCTGATGGCCAACAGCACTCGGCACTGGTCAGTGGACAGTGGACTGTGGACCGTGGACAGTGTGCGGTGGGCAGCTATTTAAAGTTTAATTTGAAAATTAGGCTGGCCACAGCTCGAAGCAAACAAGAAAGAACAAAGACAACAATAACAACACCAGCCACAACAGCAAAGACAGCAACTTAAACAAATGTCGCTTCTGAGTTGTTTGCTGAAAGTTTTCAGCTAATTTTTTGATTTTAACGAGAATTTTGAAGCAGCTACACCCAGGACCGTGGAGGTGACTGGCTGCCAATGAGTGGGACATGGACAATGTCCAAATAACTTGGGAGCTCGCAACTAACGAGAAAATGTCTGGCAAACACTTAAAACTTTTACGATGAGATGCACTCCAAGTCGCTGCACTATGGAACCGAAACTTAAATTATGCCCAAACAATTCAAGAGTAAACTTTAGCTTAAGATGATGTAGGATAAGTGCCGCTAAAAAGTTCAAATAATACACAAAATAAGATATTATTATCGTTTTTAATCCCAGTTATATACTGATAGTCTTAAGTTGATCATAGCTGATGTGCGAAATTTTCGCAGTAGTTCGCAGTAAATTTTCCACCGTGAGCTATATTCAACTCGAGTTGACGGCCTCTGCTGTGCCAGGCGCTGTCATTGACTTTTGGGGCTGCACACGCTCCCTACGGTTTACTTACCCTCTGTCCAATACTGTCCAATATAAGCGCGTTTGAAAACAAAACTCTTGACAGACATCGGGTAATAAGAATAACGTCAAGAGGGGAGGAAGCAGCAGCAGCAGCAACAACAGCAGTAGCTGTAATATAATCTGCATTAGATTTGCACTTAAAAACTGTCCAGGCCTTGCCGAAAGCTAAACTATAAAATTAATTATAATTATAGGCAGCACTCGGGTTTGCACTCACTGTATCTGGCCATCTGTCCCTTGGCGTGTTTAGTGTGACTGTAAGCGGTCCTGGCTATTTTTGGCCAATTGTCAAAGCTGACAATTTTACTTTACTGTCTATTTTATGTGACCACGCCAACTGACTGGCCTGATAGGCACTGGCCTAAAAGGCAGAACAAAAACGAAAAAAAAAACACAGACAAGCACGGTAACAAGTCCCATGAAATTGAGGATGACTGACAGTAGTAATAACCAGGCAGAGGCAGAGGCAGTGGGACAGTGCGGGGCAGTCAGCCAAGCGGCTCATTGCCGTCGCGACTAGGGCCAGGACTAAAGAAGCGATAAAAACGAGATAAAACGCTTTAATAGAGGAGACACAGCAAATGCTCCAAAAAATGTTACCATGACCGCAACGCAACGCAACGCAACTGAAGTGAATAGTCTTGTTTTATGGTTTATTTAAAACTCCGCTGCAGGGTGGGGTGATGTTGGCTGCTCTGTCAGTGGAGCGATAAAGGCGCCAGCCCAGGCACCAGCGTTTGTCAATTGAACACTATACTACCTGCAATTGGTGTGGAGCTGCCGCTAGTAAGCCTGTCAAAACGATTAACAGCACGGCACGGCATGGCACAGCACTGCGCAGGGCACGGCACTACATGACAGCAGAGGACACGGCAACCCCCAAAAGCCAAAAATTCATTTGCCTGAAATTACAAATTACGACACTTGCAGTTACCACTACCAGCAGAACCAGCAGCAGCAGCAGCAGCAATAACAGCCATAGGGTGAGCTGGGGGCCCAAGTACGCACTAACAGAGAGGTGGCAGCCAACTATTAACTCAACAAGCATAAAATGAAGCCGGCCAAGAAGTTAGTAAACGAAGGCCAGCTGAACTGAACTGAACTGAACTGAGTTAGCTGAGCAGAGCTGAACTGAGGATGCCTGTGCCCGAGTACCCAGTGAAATTGCTTGGGCCCGGGTGCGGATTGGTATGTGGGCGCACCAGGCACTGGCACTGGCACTGGCACTGGCACTTGAGCACACATTCACGTGGCAGCTGAGCTGGCAAATAAGCCGACAGCAGATATTGTCAACGTGTGCCGCAATGACGCACTTCTGGGAGTGGGCCTGGCTGCTGATTATGTTGTTGGCATCGCCAGGGTTGTTACCTTTTGCATGTGCCTCATATTTCAAAGCCGTCAACACTTTTCAGGTTGAGCACAAAAATACTACAACAGTCCAACAGGGCCACAATTATGACTAAAGTATGGCTGGCATAAATTTTGCACTTGTTTGTGCTGATGGCTGCTTTTGGGACTTCTTCTACTCCTTCTCGTCCTGGTTGGGGCATCTTGTTGGGGGCTGACTGCTTATTGTGTAGTGTATGGTGCGAGCGGGGCTGGGGCTGGGGCTGTTGTTATGACATTTGTTTGCTGTGAAATAAAGCGCCGCATTAAAGTTAATGACGCCCAGGAAGGTGGCTTAAAGTGCCAGTCACTCAAAGGCCGCCACAGGCCTGAGGCAACCGCAACCATAGCCGCACCAGGCAGCCCCCCTCCCGCCGAAGCACGCCACGACCAACACCCCGCCATGCCCACTCATACCCAATTTAACTTTACCGTTCTCAGGTCACAAGCTGAGGCGGAAATTAGAAATTAAGTCGCTCGCTGTTTGAATATAAATTTAATTAATGTTACACAAATGCTTAAAAGCCTGCATAGTTTGTTTGCCATAGACCATCGCCCAAACAAAAACAACAAGAACAACAGCAACGACGACAACAACAATTGGCCGGGACCAGCCCAACTCTGACAGGCAACAGCACGCGCCTTCCGCCCATGTTTTCCGCCGGAGTTATGTGAACTTTTGGTCGCTGTTTAATAGTTTTCAGACGCTTGTCTAACTGACGCCTTCCGTCACATCTAGTATATGTACATCAACAACCGCTCGAGGGTAGATCGATAAATATGCTGAAATAAAAGTATTTTAAAATAAATATTACCCAAGAATTCTCAACTAAAAGATGCCATAATATTTACAAACTATAATCAAACTATATATAATCTGATGGTCTGATGGCATCCAC